GTTTGATCTTGCGAACTATTTGAACTGACCTGGAGAACTCAGTTTTGTGAGCAATAGTACATTCATTTGTTTGTTGCCCATCAAATAGTACGACATGCAGAACATGACTGCTCAACTGACCAGTGAGCAGTATATGAGCACTGTGTAAACGTGTTTCATCTCACTTGTATGTAATTAGAAGAAGTGTATATATTGGCCGAGTGCTAACATCCATCCGAACACGAATTGAACGATTCTCAGTCTGATCGGCAAATTCCACGTGAACGATATGTTAATGAGTAGGAACAATTAACATAACATACTGAATTGTTCAATTTCCCTAACTGGTCGCATTTGTTCACAAATATTTTCACAATTCAACTGTGCCAGTCGACACGAGCGAACCGATGAGCTGTCAATTTGTTATAAACTCTCACTCTACTCAAATACGAAGGTTATTATTGTATCGTTTATCCCATTTGATTGGATGCCTCAATCAGTGTGCATTTTTCGTTTCTCATCTTTTTTGATTGTAGGGGGAGAGAAAAAGGCTGAAGGTGAGTTGTGATTGATCATGTTGCAGTTTGGTCTCGTTCATTTATTCAGCATGATTCACTTGATGGACGGTGTGGAACATGGAGGATCATGCTGCTTTGTTCTCGTCCGAATTTCATTCGTCTCTTTGCTACAACGAGCAATTCGCATTTGGCTACTTCACTGTATGCAGTAGACGAACGGTTTTCCAATCAAATTCCTTATCGAAACGTATTTGCTAACGCAGATAGACACCATCCGATTGGACATTCTGATTGGAAATGACAAACGAATTGTGGACACTGCAAATTAGTCTCTCACATGTTCTCATTAGAAAGATAAAAGCACTCGAATGATTTCATCATCAGAACAAATATCAATCGTGTTTGATCTTGCAAACTATTTGAACTGACCTGGAGAACTCAGTTTTGTGAGCAATAGTACATTCATTTGTTTGTTGCCCATCAAATAGTACGACATGCAGAACATGACTGCTCAACTGACCAGTGAGCAGTATATGAGCACTGTGTAAACGTGTTTCATCTCACTTGCATGTAATTAGAAGAAGTGTATATATTGGCCGAGTGCTAACATCCATCCGAACACGAATTGAACGATTCTCAGTCTGATCGGCAAATTCCACGTGAACGATATGTGAATGAGTAGGAACAATTAACATAACATACTGAATTGTTCAATTTCCCTAACTGGTCGCATTTGTTCACAAATATTTTCACAATTCAACTGTGCCAGTCGACACGAGCGAACCGATGAGCTGTCAATTTGTTATAAACTCTCACTCTACTCAAATACGAAGGTTATTATTGTATCGTTTATCCCATTTGATTGGATGCCTCAATCAGTGTGCATTTTTCGTTTCTCATCTTTTTTGATTGTAGGGGGAGAGAAAAAGGCTGAAGGTGAGTTGTGATTGATCATGTTGCAGTTTGGTCTCGTTCATTTATTCAGCATGATTCACTTGATGGACGGTGTGGAACATGGAGGATCATGCTGCTTTGTTCTCGTCCGAATTTCATTCGTCTCTTTGCTACAACGAGCAATTCGCATTTGGCTACTTCACTGTATGCAGTAGACGAACGGTTTTCCAATCAAATTCCTTATCGAAACGTATTTGCTAACGCAGATAGACACCATCCGATTGGACATTCTGATTGGAAATGACAAACGAATTGTGGATACTGCAAATTAGTCTCTCACATGTTCTCATTAGATAGATAAAAGCACTCGAATGATTTCATCATCAGAACAAATATCAATCGTGTTTGATCTTGCGAACTATTTGAACTGACCTGGAGAACTCAGTTTTGTGAGCAATAGTACATTCATTTGTTTGTTGCCCATCAAATAGTACGACATGCAGAACATGACTGCTCAACTGACCAGTGAGCAGTATATGAGCACTGTGTAAACGTGTTTCATCTCACTTGTATGTAATTAGAAGAAGTGTATATATTGGCCGAGTGCTAACATCCATCCGAACACGAATTGAACGATTCTCAGTCTGATCGGCAAAATCCACGTGAACGATATGTGAATGAATGGGAACAATTAACATAACATACTGAATTGTTCAATTTCCCTAACTGGTCGCATTTGTTCACAAATATTTTCACAATTCAACTGTGCCAGTCGACACGAGCGAACCGATGAGCTGTCAATTTGTTATAAACTCTCACTCTACTCAAATACGAAGGTTATTATTGTATCGTTTATCCCATTTGATTGGATGCTTCAATCAGTGTGCATTTTTCGTTTCTCATCTTTTTTGATTGTAGGGGGAGAGAAAAAGGCTGAAGGTGAGTTGTGATTGATCATGTTGCAGTTTGGTCTCGTTCATTTATTCAGCATGATTCACTTGATGGACGGTGTGGAACATGGAGGATCATGCTGCTTTGTTCTCGTCCGAATTTCATTCGTCTCTTTGCTACAACGAGCAATTCGCATTTGGCTACTTCACTGTATGCAGTAGACGAACGGTTTTCCAATCAAATTCCTTATCGAAACGTATTTGCTAACGCAGATAGACACCATCCGATTGGACATTCTGATTGGAAATGACAAACGAATTGTGGACACTGCAAATTAGTCTCTCACATGTTCTCATTAGAAAGATAAAAGCACTCGAATGATTTCATCATCAGAACAAATATCAATCGTGTTTGATCTTGCAAACTATTTGAAGTGACCTGGAGAACTCAGTTTTGTGAGCAATAGTACATTCATTTGTTTGTTGCCCATCAAATAGTACGACATGCAGAACATGACTGCTCAACTGACCACTGAGCAGTATATGAGCACTGTGTAAACGTGTTTCATCTCACTTGTATGTAATTAGAAGAAGTGTATATATTGGCCGAGTGCTAACATCCATCCGAACACGAATTGAACGATTCTCAGTCTGATCGGCAAATTCCACGTGAACGATATGTGAATGAGTAGGAACAATTAACATAACATACTGAATTGTTCAATTTCCCTAACTGGTCGCATTTGTTCACAAATATTTTCACAATTCAACTGTGCCAGTCGACACGAGCGAACCGATGAGCTGTCAATTTGTTATAAACTCTCACTCTACTCAAATACGAAGGTTATTATTGTATCGTTTATCCCATTTGATTGGATGCCTCAATCAGAGTGCATTTTTCGTTTCTCATCTTTTTTGATTGTAGGGGGAGAGAAAAAGGCTGAAGGTGAGTTGTGATTGATCATGTTGCAGTTTGGTCTCGTTCATTTATTCAGCATGATTCACTTGATGGACGGTGTGGAACATGGAGGATCATGCTGCTTTGTTCTCGTCCGAATTTCATTCGTCTCTTTGCTACAACGAGCAATTCGCATTTGGCTACTTCACTGTATGCAGTAGACGAACGGTTTTCCAATCAAATTCCTTATCGAAACGTATTTGCTAACGCAGATAGACACCATCCGATTGGACATTCTGATTGGAAATGACAAACGAATTGTGGACACTGCAAATTAGTCTCTCACATGTTCTCATTAGAAAGATAAAAGCACTCGAATGATTTCATCATCAGAACAAATATCAATCGTGTTTGATCTTGCAAACTATTTGAAGTGACCTGGAGAACTCAGTTTTGTGAGCAATAGTACATTCATTTGTTTGTTGCCCATCAAATAGTACGACATGCAGAACATGACTGCTCAACTGACCAGTGAGCAGTATATGAGCACTGTGTAAACGTGTTTCATCTCACTTGCATGTAATTAGAAGAAGTGTATATATTGGCCGAGTGCTAACATCCATCCGAACACGAATTGAACGATTCTCAGTCTGATCGGCAAATTCCACGTGAACGATATGTGAATGAATGAGAACAATTAACATAACATACTGAATTGTTCAATTTCCCTAACTGGTCGCATTTGTTCACAAATATTTTCACAATTCAACTGTGCCAGTCGACACGAGCGAACCGATGAGCTGTCAATTTGTTATAAACTCTCACTCTACTCAAATACGAAGGTTATTATTGTATCGTTTATCCCATTTGATTGGATGCCTCAATCAGTGTGCATTTTTCGTTTCTCATCTTTTTTGATTGTAGGGGGAGAGAAAAAGGCTGAAGGTGAGTTGTGATTGATCATGTTGCAGTTTGGTCTCGTTCATTTATTCAGCATGATTCACTTGATGGACGGTGTGGAACATGGAGGATCATGCTGTTTTGTTCTCGTCCGAATTTCATTCGTCTCTTTGATACAACGAGCAATTCGCATTTGGCTACTTCACTGTATGCAGTAGACGAACGGTTTTCCAATCAAATTCCTTATCGAAACGTATTTGCTAACGCAGATAGACACCATCCGATTGGACATTCTGATTGGAAATGACAAACGAATTGTGGACACTGCAAATTAGTCTCTCACATGTTCTCATTAGAAAGATAAAAGCACTCGAATGATTTCATCATCAGAACAAATATCAATCGTGTTTGATCTTGCGAACTATTTGAACTGACCTGGAGAACTCAGTTTTGTGAGCAATAGTACATTCATTTGTTTGTTGCCCATCAAATAGTACGACATGCAGAACATGACTGCTCAACTGACCAGTGAGCAGTATATGAGCACTGTGTAAACGTGTTTCATCTCACTTGTATGTAATTAGAAGAAGTGTATATATTGGCCGAGTGCTAACATCCATCCGAACACGAATTGAACGATTCTCAGTCTGATCGGCAAATTCCACGTGAACGATATGTGAATGAATGGGAACAATTAACATAACATACTGAATTGTTCAATTTCCCTAACTGGTCGCATTTGTTCACAAATATTTTCACAATTCAACTGTGCCAGTCGACACGAGCGAACCGATGAGCTGTCAATTTGTTATAAACTCTCACTCTACTCAAATACGAAGGTTATTATTGTATCGTTTATCCCATTTGATTGGATGCCTCAATCAGTGTGCATTTTTCGTTTCTCATCTTTTTTGATTGAAGGGGGAGAGAAAAAGGCTGAAGGTGAGTTGTGATTGATCATGTTGCAGTTTGGTCTCGTTCATTTATTCAGCATGATTCACTTGATGGACGGTGTGGAACATGGAGGATCATGCTGCTTTGTTCTCGTCCGAATTTCATTCGTCTCTTTGCTACAACGAGCAATTCGCATTTGGCTACTTCACTGTATGCAGTAGACGAACGGTTTTCCAATCAAATTCCTTATCGAAACTTATTTGCTAACGCAGATAGACACCATCCGATTGGACATTCTGATTGGAAATGACAAACGAATTGTGGACACTGCAAATTAGTCTCTCACATGTTCTCATTAGAAAGATAAAAGCACTCGAATGATTTCATCATCAGAACAAATATCAATCGTGTTTGATCTTGCAAACTATTTGAAGTGACCTGGAGAACTCAGTTTTGTGAGCAATAGTACATTCATTTGTTTGTTGCCCATCAAATAGTACGACATGCAGAACATGACTGCTCAACTGACCAGTGAGCAGTATATGAGCACTGTGTAAACGTGTTTCATCTCACTTGTATGTAATTAGAAGAAGTGTATATATTGGCCGAGTGCTAACATCCATCCGAACACGAATTGAACGATTCTCAGTCTGATCGGCAAATTCCACGTGAACGATATGTGAATGAATGGGAACAATTAACATAACATACTGAATTGTTCAATTTCCCTAACTGGTCGCATTTGTTCACAAATATTTTCACAATTCAACTGTGCCAGTCGACACGAGCGAACCGATGAGCTGTCAATTTGTTATAAACTCTCACTCTACTCAAATACGAAGGTTATTATTGTATCGTTTATCCCATTTGATTGGATGCCTCAATCAGTGTGCATTTTTCGTTTCTCATCATTTTTGATTGTAGGGGGAGAGAAAAAGGCTGAAGGTGAGTTGTGATTGATCATGTTGCAGTTTGGTCTCGTTCATTTATTCAGCATGATTCACTTGATGGACGGTGTGGAACATGGAGGATCATGCTGCTTTGTTCTCGTCCGAATTTCATTCGTCTCTTTGCTACAACGAGCAATTCGCATTTGGCTACTTCACTGTATGCAGTAGACGAACGGTTTTCCAATCAAATTCCTTATCGAAACTTATTTGCTAACGCAGATAGACACCATCCGATTGGACATTCTGATTGGAAATGACAAACGAATTGTGGACACTGCAAATTAGTCTCTCACATGTTCTCATTAGATAGATAAAAGCACTCGAATGATTTCATCATCAGAACAAATATCAATCGTGTTTGATCTTGCAAACTATTTGAAGTGACCTGGAGAACTCAGTTTTGTGAGCAATAGTACATTCATTTGTTTGTTGCCCATCAAATAGTACGACATGCAGAACATGACTGCTCAACTGACCAGTGAGCAGTATATGAGCACTGTGTAAACGTGTTTCATCTCACTTGTATGTAATTAGAAGAAGTGTATATATTGGCCGAGTGCTAACATCCATCCGAACACGAATTGAACGATTCTCAGTCTGATCGGCAAATTCCACGTGAACGATATGTGAATGAATGGGAACAATTAACATAACATACTGAATTGTTCAATTTCCCTAACTGGTCGCATTTGTTCACAAATATTTTCACAATTCAACTGTGCCAGTCGACACGAGCGAACCGATGAGCTGTCAATTTGTTATAAACTCTCACTCTACTCAAATACGAAGGTTATTATTGTATCGTTTATCCCATTTGATTGGATGCCTCAATCAGTGTGCATTTTTCGTTTCTCATCTTTTTTGATTGAAGGGGGAGAGAAAAAGGCTGAAGGTGAGTTGTGATTGATCATGTTGCAGTTTGGTCTCGTTCATTTATTCAGCATGATTCACTTGATGGACGGTGTGGAACATGGAGGATCATGCTGCTTTGTTCTCGTCCGAATTTCATTCGTCTCTTTGCTACAACGAGCAATTCGCATTTGGCTACTTCACTGTATGCAGTAGACGAACGGTTTTCCAATCAAATTCCTTATCGAAACTTATTTGCTAACGCAGATAGACACCATCCGATTGGACATTCTGATTGGAAATGACAAACGAATTGTGGACACTGCAAATTAGTCTCTCACATGTTCTCATTAGAAAGATAAAAGCACTCGAATGATTTCATCATCAGAACAAATATCAATCGTGTTTGATCTTGCAAACTATTTGAAGTGACCTGGAGAACTCAGTTTTGTGAGCAATAGTACATTCATTTGTTTGTTGCCCATCAAATAGTACGACATGCAGAACATGACTGCTCAACTGACCAGTGAGCAGTATATGAGCACTGTGTAAACGTGTTTCATCTCACTTGTATGTAATTAGAAGAAGTGTATATATTGGCCGAGTGCTAACATCCATCCGAACACGAATTGAACGATTCTCAGTCTGATCGGCAAATTCCACGTGAACGATATGTGAATGAATGGGAACAATTAACATAACATACTGAATTGTTCAATTTCCCTAACTGGTCGCATTTGTTCACAAATATTTTCACAATTCAACTGTGCCAGTCGACACGAGCGAACCGATGAGCTGTCAATTTGTTATAAACTCTCACTCTACTCAAATACGAAGGTTATTATTGTATCGTTTATCCCATTTGATTGGATGCCTCAATCAGTGTGCATTTTTCGTTTCTCATCATTTTTGATTGTAGGGGGAGAGAAAAAGGCTGAAGGTGAGTTGTGATTGATCATGTTGCAGTTTGGTCTCGTTCATTTATTCAGCATGATTCACTTGATGGACGGTGTGGAACATGGAGGATCATGCTGCTTTGTTCTCGTCCGAATTTCATTCGTCTCTTTGCTACAACGAGCAATTCGCATTTGGCTACTTCACTGTATGCAGTAGACGAACGGTTTTCCAATCAAATTCCTTATCGAAACTTATTTGCTAACGCAGATAGACACCATCCGATTGGACATTCTGATTGGAAATGACAAACGAATTGTGGACACTGCAAATTAGTCTCTCACATGTTCTCATTAGATAGATAAAAGCACTCGAATGATTTCATCATCAGAACAAATATCAATCGTGTTTGATCTTGCAAACTATTTGAACTGACCTGGAGAACTCAGTGTTGTGAGCAATAGTACATTCATTTGTTTGTTGCCCATCAAATAGTACGACATGCAGAACATGACTGCTCAACTGACCAGTGAGCAGTATATGAGCACTGTGTAAGCGTGTTTCATCTCACTTGTATGAAATTAGAAGAAGTGTATATATTGGCCGAGTGCTAACATCCATCCGAACACGAATTGGACGATTCTCAGTCTGATCGGCAAATTCCACGTGAACGATATGTGAATGAGTAGGAACAATTAACATAACATACTGAATTGTTCAATTTCCCTAACTGGTCGCATTTGTTCACAAATATTTTCACAATTCAACTGTGCCAGTCGACACGAGCGAACCGATGAGCTGTCAATTTGTTATAAACTCTCACTCTACTCAAATACGAAGGTTATTATTGTATCGTTTATCCCATTTGATTGGATGCCTCAATCAGTGTGCATTTTTCGTTTCTCATCTTTTTTGATTGTAGGGGGAGAGAAAAAGGCTGAAGGTGAGTTGTGATTGATCATGTTGCAGTTTGGTCTCGTTCATTTATTCAGCATGATTCACTTGATGGACGGTGTGGAACATGGAGGATCATGCTGCTTTGTTCTCGTCCGAATTTCATTCGTCTCTTTGATACAACGAGCAATTCGCATTTGGCTACTTCACTGTATGCAGCAGACGAACGGTTTCCAATCGAATTCTTTATCGAAACTTATTTGCTAACGCAGATAGACACCATCCGATTGGACATTCTGATTGGAAATGACAAACGAATTGTGGACACTGCAAATTAGTCTCTCACATGTTCTCATTAGAAAGATAAAAGCACTCGAATGATTTCATCATCAGAACAAATATCAATCGTGTTTGATCTTGCGAACTATTTGAACTGACCTGGAGAACTCAGTTTTGTGAGCAATAGTACATTCATTTGTTTGTTGCCTATCAAATAGTACGACATGCAGAACATGACTGCTCAACTGACCAGTGAGCAGTATATGAGCACTGTGTAAACGTGTTTCATCTCACTTGTATGTAATTAGAAGAAGTGTATATATTGGCCGAGTGCTAACATCCATCCGAACACGAATTGAACGATTCTCAGTCTGATCGGCAAATTCCACGTGAACGATATGTGAATGAGTAGGAACAATTAACATAACATACTGAATTGTTCAATTTCCCTAACTGGTCGCATTTGTTCACAAATATTTTCACAATTCAACTGTGCCAGTCGACACGAGCGAACCGATGAGCTGTCAATTTGTTATAAACTCTCACTCTACTCAAATACGAAGGTTATTATTGTATCGTTTATCCCATTTGATTGGATGCCTCAATCAGTGTGCATTTTTCGTTTCTCATCTTTTTTGATTGAAGGGGGAGAGAAAAAGGCTGAAGGTGAGTTGTGATTGATCATGTTGCAGTTTGGTCTCGTTCATTTATTCAGCATGATTCACTTGATGGACGGTGTGGAACATGGAGGATCATGCTGCTTTGTTCTCGTCCGAATTTCATTCGTCTCTTTGCTACAACGAGCAATTCGCATTTGGCTACTTCACTGTATGCAGTAGACGAACGGTTTTCCAATCAAATTCCTTATCGAAACGTATTTGCTAACGCAGATAGACACCATCCGATTGGACATTCTGATTGGAAATGACAAACGAATTGTGGACACTGCAAATTAGTCTCTCACATGTTCTCATTAGAAAGATAAAAGCACTCGAATGATTTCATCATCAGAACAAATATCAATCGTGTTTGATCTTGCGAACTATGTGAACTGACCTGTAGAACTCAGTTTTGTGAGCAATAGTACATTCATTTGTTTGTTGCCCATCAAATAGTATGACATGCAGAACATGACTGCTCAACTGACCAGTGAGCAGTATATGAGCACTGTGTAAACGTGTTTCATCTCACTTGTATGTAATTAGAAGAAGTGTATATATTGGCCGAGTGCTAACATCCATCCGAACACGAATTGAACGATTCTCAGTCTGATCGGCAAATTCCACGTGAACGATATGTGAATGAATGGGAACAATTAACATAACATACTGAATTGTTCAATTTCCCTAACTGGTCGCATTTGTTCACAAATATTTTCACAATTCAACTGTGCCAGTCGACACGAGCGAACCGATGAGCTGTCAATTTGTTATAAACTCTCACTCTACTCAAATACGAAGGTTATTATTGTATCGTTTATCCCATTTGATTGGATGCCTCAATCAGTGTGCATTTTTCGTTTCTCATCATTTTTGATTGTAGGGGGAGAGAAAAAGGCTGAAGGTGAGTTGTGATTGATCATGTTGCAGTTTGGTCTCGTTCATTTATTCAGCATGATTCACTTGATGGACGGTGTGGAACATGGAGGATCATGCTGCTTTGTTCTCGTCCGAATTTCATTCGTCTCTTTGCTACAACGAGCAATTCGCATTTGGCTACTTCACTGTATGCAGTAGACGAACGGTTTTCCAATCAAATTCCTTATCGAAACGTATTTGCTAACGCAGATAGACACCATCCGATTGGACATTCTGATTGGAAATGACAAACGAATTGTGGACACTGCAAATTAGTCTCTCACATGTTCTCATTAGATAGATAAAAGCACTCGAATGATTGCATCATCAGAACAAATGTCAATCGTGTTTGATCTTGCGAACTATTTGAACGGAACTGTAGAACTCAGTTTTGTGAGCAATAGTACATTCATTTGTTTGTTGCCCATCAAATAGTACGACATGCAGAACATGACTGCTCAACTGACCAGTGAGCAGTATATGAGCACTGTGTAAACGTGTTTCATCTCACTTGTATGTAATTAGAAGAAGTGTATATATTGGCCGAGTGCTAACATCCATCCGAACACGAATTGAACGATTCTCAGTCTGATCGGCAAATTCCACGTGAACGATATGTGAATGAATGGGAACAATTAACATAACATACTGAATTGTTCAATTTCCCTAACTGGTCGCATTTGTTCACAAATATTTTCACAATTCAACTGTGCCAGTCGACACGAGCGAACCGATGAGCTGTCAATTTGTTATAAACTCTCACTCTACTCAAATACGAAGGTTATTATTGTATCGTTTATCCCATTTGATTGGATGCCTCAATCAGTGTGCATTTTTCGTTTCTCATCTTTTTTGATTGTAGGGGGAGAGAAAAAGGCTGAAGGTGAGTTGTGATTGATCATGTTGCACTTTGGTCTCGTTCATTTATTCAGCATGATTCACTTGATGGACGGTGTGGAACATGGAGGATCATGCTGCTTTGTTCTCGTCCGAATTTCATTCGTCTCTTTGATACAACGAGCAATTCGCATTTGGCTACTTCACTGTATGCAGTAGACGAACGGTTTTCCAATCGAATTCCTTATCGAAACTTATTTGCTAACGCAGATAGACACCATCCGATTGGACATTCTGATTGGAAATGACAAACGAATTGTGGACACTGCAAATTAGTCTCTCACATGTTCTCATTAGATAGATAAAAGCACTCGAATGATTTCATCATCAGAACAAATATCAATCGTGTTTGATCTTGCGAACTATTTGAACTGACCTGTAGAACTCAGTTTTGTGAGCAATAGTACATTCATTTGTTTGTTGCCCATCAAATAGTACGACATGCAGAACATGACTGCTCAACTGACCAGTGAGCAGTATATGAGCACTGTGTAAACGTGTTTCATCTCACTTGTATGTAATTCGAAGAAGTGTATATATTGGCCGAGTGCTAACATCCATCCGAACACGAATTGAACGATTCTCAGTCTGATCGGCAAATTCCACGTGAACGATATGTGAATGAGTAGGAACAATTAACATAACATACTGAATTGTTCAATTTCCCTAACTGGTCGCATTTGTTCACAAATATTTTCACAATTCAACTGTGCCAGTCGACACGAGCGAACCGATGAGCTGTCAATTTGTTATAAACTCTCACTCTACTCAAATACGAAGGTTATTATTGTATCGTTTATCCCATTTGATTGGATGCCTCAATCAGTGTGCATTTTTCGTTTCTCATCTTTTTTGATTGTAGGGGGAGAGAAAAAGGCTGAAGGTGAGTTGTGATTGATCATGTTGCAATTTGGTCTCTTTGTCTTTTCTTTTTGTTTAAATTTGTATCTGTTTGATCCTGTTTCCCCTTATCCTTTTTGCTCTTTTTTCTCTTTCTGCTTCAGCCCTTATCCCTCATATTCTTTGCGTTTTTTCTTACTTATTTTTGTTTTTTTTTGTATCTTTCCGCCTTTTTCCTGGGACCTCTCAATAAATTTTCGATAATTTTTCCAGGCATATCTATTTCACGTCTTCTCTTTTCTGCTCGATTCCGCTGCATTGTTATCTTTACCTGAGGCACATTTATTTATTTCCTAATCGATCAACTTGACCTTGTGAAATCGAACGATTGATCGAAAGTTCAGTGTTTGGATTTTCAAATTCGGTTTAGTTCCCTCCGGTGTAAATCTTTGGCCTGCCCTTTCTTTGAATCCATCAGATGTGTCACGGCATAACTGTGTGCATGTTTGCTGGCATCGTTCCGAATAATACAGAACTTGAAACCTTCTTGGTCTGCTTTTCTACCTTCAACACTGTGCTTGACGTACAGTAAGCGATACTACAGGTAAGCTGTTCGATGTGGCTGGACTTGCTGTAAGACAGTTTTGAGAATGGTCAAGATCCTATTTGACATCTAGGAACATTATTCATACGGTATTCTCTCTCCGTTTTTGAGTACTTTCTTCGCGAAAAAGGTCGGTTCAAATTTTGAATGCTGTCTTCAAAATATTTTATCATCTTTAGGTGCAGCTAATTAATGAAATGCGCTCATTGCATGGAAGTAAGCATTCTCCGTAATCTGCTCCTATCTCACTCTTTTTACAGGAGGCACTTCAAGACTCACCAATCACATTGTTCTCCTCGCATTCCTTTTAAAGTGTCTCGGATTGATCCAGTAGCGGAGATATCTTTTTTCCGCAGACAGTATGCAAAGGCTTACCATCGCTTTTTGTCTGTCATTTCACAGCTAACAACAAATTGATTATCTCTTACTCAGCTTGAGATTTTGTAATTTATTTTATCTGTTTTCGCATGTGCGAGAATGAAACAAGAGTCCATTGCTTTTGGGTGAGCTCTTATAACTCAGCACAGCTATTTGAGCTATACGACAACTATCCTCATAAAACGTCCTGAATAATGTTTCCGTTCGCCAAGTCTACTTCTCAACTTCAGAAAGACTATAGAATAATGGGATGTAAAGAGATGCGTCGTGGATCTTAGGCTTGTCAGAGAAAGAGAGAGGTTCTTCATAGACCCCCCAGTATAGCCACTGAATATCTGTCGAAAGACAGCATGCCTAACGCCTCTGTAATCAAACATCTTTTTCGAACCTTATTCTCACCACCTCGAAGACTAAGAAGAACAACATCCAGATCACTTATACACATTAGCGTGTTAAACTAACAAATAGTCTTATTCGGTGTTTTGTTAACTGTGTTCATTCATCATCCACGGTTTTGCGGAAACATATCAGTCATTGTACTGGAAGCAAATCAAGCTAACTTTAAAACAGGGATTGCTTCTATCTGCACACCTCATTTTGGATTGGATAGCCGAAATTTCAAAACACTTTAGCAGTATCAAACACAGATTTGGTATTGAATAAGTGCTTACCTAGTTCTAGAAGTGGGAGGATAATTTGAATGTGAGCATGAAATTATGAATCAGCATTGGTGTTTTTTGAAACTCATGTCGGTGGTTTGTATCCGTTGGTTATCACTGAGCTTGGCGTTAAGGTCCCAAACGTTTCATCATCAGTCGAGGTGACATCATCAGGGCACAGGTGAGGTTGTCGGTACTCCTCTGAATATACATGGAGCTTGCTCTGGATGTGGCCTTGACCCAGTAGACGACCCTGAACCCAGGAAGTTGCCAATTATGAAAAACGGACCCTTTGACGTCTAGGTACAAACTGCTGAATTCGGTAAGTTGACTTTTGACCTTTTGTGAGGCCGGCTTTATTTGGAAACTTGATTTCTGGGATGTTTGGCCATTCAGTTTTTTGTTTCTTTTGCCTTTTGCGCGTATTTTTTGTTTGTTTTTGTGATTCTCGCTATTTGTTGCGCTTCTTTCGTTTTCTTTCTTGATTACTTTTCGTTTTTTGTGTTTTTATCCGATGTGTGCACGCGAAGAACTGGGTTAAATACCATGGTTCGCTAATATCGAGGTCCACTAGATCTTCACTTGTGCTAGTTGGATTTCTTGCGCATCAGCAGACTGTAAATCAGATCCAATTCAATGCGCATATTGATTGAATTCTCTGAAGGATGCCAGGCTTCCATGAACTCCGTTTCGTGTCTCGTCGTTGCTTGGTCCAGAATGTGAACTTCATCTCAACTGAAAGTGTGTCCTTCTTGATCCTCGAGAGCAGATATTGGTTTATGTTGATGCATTCGTGTTGCAACCTTTCTCCCAGTTTGACCGATTGATTATTTGTTACAGCACTTGTAGTTCACCTATTACATAAATTTTCTTCTTTCTTCGGTTTTCATTTGCATTTTCGGTCTGGATATCCTTCTGTTGGATTGTGCTCTTTGGCCAGTTTTGATCTTGGTTTTGAGTAGAGTCCTTCGTATAAAGTTTTCTTGGGTATCCTATCCGTCGGAACATCGTGAAATAAACAGTTTTCTTCTGGCTTTCACAGCAATCATCCAAAACACCACAAGAAATATTGCATGCGAACTCTGTTCAACAGAGCTCAACACACATAGCAGCACAGAGGAACTAGACACACGAAAGGAAAACTATAGCCGGCGTCACAAAAGGTCAAAAGTCAACTTACCGAATTCAGCAGTTTGTACCTGGAAGTCAAAGGGTCAATTTTCTACAATCGGCCACTTCCTAGGTACAGGGTCATCTACTGGGTCAAGGCCACATCCAGAGCAAGCTCCGTGTATATACAGAGGAGTACTGACAACCTCACCTGTGCCCTGATGATGTCACCTCGACTGATGATGAAACGTTTGGGACCTAAACGCCAAGCTCAGTGATAACCAACGGATACAAACCACCAACCTGAGTTTCAAAAAATACCAATATTAGACATTTTTGGAAAGTTTTCATTATGGATGGGCATTGTTACGTCGTTTACTGAAGTTTTCAAGTAATGATTGATCACCAATAAATTGCTCATGAAATCGCTCATCATTTATTTTCCATGCGCTACCGGAGCACTATAAATTTGTTTTTCCACGTTATTAATAATCATGTTTGCATAGCAAATGGACTGACAAACATGGTGCTTGATTTCAAAGCCCACTGAGTAAAACTGGGCTATCCGGGGAAGGCTCATGATAGTACGCTTCTCGTTCGCACAACACGATATAGATTTTAGTGGCCACCGAATTTGGAAATATTCAGCCTAACCGTCACATCTCGAGACATTCTCAAGCTGACAACGTTCACGATGTATGAATATATTCGAGATACTCTCCCATGAATGGCTTCTAGTTCACCTTCTACCCCGGACTACAATTAGCCTTTGAACGATAGCCGAGTAAAATCAAGGCATTACTGTCAACGGTGCACCTTGCTGAACAGGACGAATACGCGCCTTCGACACTTAAAAAAAGGTCACCTAATATTCAAAAGTTTCAACTAAAATTGACGAGCCATTTATGTTTTATAGGGTTTCAAAGGAGTGTCAACTTTTGTCCGACAAGCGAGCTCTGTGAAACCAAGAGTATGAAAGGTGGTCTCATACTAATTCTTCCCGGTCAAAATTCATTTCGAAGTCTGCTAAAAGCCTATTCATATTACAAAATATATACGAGCATCATGGCGTCACTTTACCGATCTATAGAATTTCGAGATGGGTGGCAGGTGGGCGATCCAGGTTCCACCGGTTACATCATTAACAATAAAGGTGTTCAATTTACTTATGCACCCGGTGATCCGAATCATCCAACTCAAGCCATTTCGCTGATGCGGAGTGGTGTTCTGATTGACGATCCACAGGAGATTCTACTGTCCACATTTTTTAGTATATAAACCAGCAAACAAGACTGAGCCAGGCCCCATGCAAAGGTTTTGCCGGAAATGGGCTTTCCCGTTGAGTTTACCATATCCATCTAAAGGTGATACTGAAAGATGCTTTGTGAATGCTATTTCAGAAAACCTTGCATGATGTGCTCTGATATAAGTGCAGTAAACTTTCCATCGTGTGTATGTCATTTTTGAATTCCACATTGAATAATGCTGAACAGGTTGCCCGTACTCTGAATGAAGCTCGGTTATCATTTGAATAGGCGGTACAAAATCATGCTTATCGTGAAGGAGTGCATACACATGAATCTAATTTTGCCCCATCGTAAATAACAGTAAGGTTACCTGAGCTTCGATTTGACACAAGAGAACAAGACAAGTGTGATAGACTAGTATAGTATTCATGAATGGGCAGTTTCCTTGAAATTCCGGTTACTTATTCGGAATAAACTAAACATTTTACTCCACTAAGTGTCTCATCCACGGTGATTATAGTGTTGAACAGCGAGAAATGTGTTCGCTTTGTACCTAACTCTTTTTTTTGGTAGGCGTTGAGTAGACAATTGGTAAATAGTTGTTTTCGGTAGTATCAGCCTTTATTTACCTATGACGAAAGCAGCTTTCTATGAATTTTCCCTTCACAGGCTTACAATAGTCCATATCCAAAATTTCCCTTATTTTGTACTACTGAGCTTCAAGTAAAATTCTCAAGTCACACAATATTAACTGTCTACAAATCGCCGCAGAATTTACATAACCTATAGCAAATTCTAATACACTTCATATTGACACCGTGTGTCATGAGGTGCAAAGGGAAATGTGGGAAAGAGGAATTCACTAATGAGAAAATAGTCTGTCTAACGAATTTCAGCAACACGTATATTCTGAAGATAGTTGAAGAATCAATCAAGACATTTTAAGGATCAATCGAAAACTGCGGGTTTTCATGGAAGAATGACCTAGAACAATCAGGAAATACACAGTGAATAGATTGTGTGGATCTATCTAAAGATTTGTACTGAAGTAGACTGAGGAAGCTGGAGCATCAAGAGGGGATCTGCTGATGCTTTCAGTGCCTTTTGTAAAATACTGAAATGCAGTAGTTGAATTCATTTGTTTCTTCTAATTACAAAGACATTCTGTTTAGCAAACTACGCAGCTTAGTTACTTTATAATGAGAAGAATATAAGATTCTACATATTATGAGATCGATCATGTTGTGCAGAAGTTCAAACCAATGAGAACCACGGAAGCACTGCACAGCTGTTCTTTTTGCTGGGAATTATCACCAGTGCACATTCAACGAGCCTCGAGCTTGTGGTGAACGACTGTGAACCGAATACCCCAACCACAAGACGATCGTGGTTGGCTCTCAACAGTTTATTGAACATATGCATTACACGAAATGGCACCCCCTTAACAATATGTGCAAGTAGTGTAAGACTGACTCCCTTCAGATTCCACTTTCACGCTCTCCAAATGAAAGGTTCGAGTTCAAACACAGGTCATGGTGAAGGATATTCACCAATTGGAAGCTTTATTGAGAGCAGAACTCAAGTTTGGTGCTTCCTGCTGCATAATTAGTAGGATGAGCAGAGTGTTTTAGTGAATGATGGAGTCCGAAAGGCAATCAGTGAAGCCAAATAATGGGATTCCTAATCAAGGAAAGGTTAACGCAGCTCGCCACCCCAACTTCATCTTTTGTTCCTCATTTGTTCCTGTATTCACTGTGTATGTGTGTGTTTTATATTCAACATATACGGAGCCGATGGGTGCAGACCAGAACAGTTTTCCACCCAGCTCGTTTACGTTCCTCTGTTCCAATGCGATTTACCTCAACCACAAACACTTTTGATTCACAGGGCACTTTGACAGCATGATAATACCCGTGACAAACATAATAGCCTGGTGACCT